ACATGCTAATAGTTCCATACTGTTGGATGACATGTAAACTATATTTTCTCGTGGAGACAGGCTCTGTCTACGTAGTTGAACTACTCACTGTTCTATAAAACACACTGAATTTTGCTGAGATCTTCATAATGGATGGGAAAACTGAAGTGATGGTGTCTGTAATCACGGTCAGTGTTGTCCTTAGTGTTTCTGTGTTTAAAGTCCTGTAACCTGCCAGAGGTACACCTGTGTACTAAACAGCTGGATCGCGGAGATACTTCCAGTAAGCCAGCCTCTAGTTAAATAAGGGTTTCTGTGTTGTTTTGAGAGCAGTTCGAACTTGCCTTCAGTTTACTTATGAGGTTTTTTTCTTTACATGTATACACCCCATGAAACTACACTAGAAGCTTTGCAAAGACTTGGTCTACGTTATCTGACATAGCTTCGAGTGTTCCTGCGAGAGTATGAAGGAACTCCTGCAGTGTGCTATTAAATACGTGCTAGGCTAGGGCAGTCCTTTACAAAACTCTGCATATTTACAGTAGAGTTTTCTCCATTACTAGTTCTTGAACATGGAGTTCAGGGACCTCAGTACTCTCTCCAATCATAGTCCAACTTAAGAGAACAGCCATACTACTAAACCCGCTTTCTCTCCATTAAGGCTAGTGATACACTGTTATCTGTATTGTGCTTGTATTTGAGGAGCTATTGTGTCATACTCAAGCCCTACTTTAACCTGTCCTGTTCTTACGGAAACACTTTCTGCAGTTCAGAAATGTCCACTTCCACAGCTGCAAGTATTGCTGGGGTGGGAGGGAAGGGAGAAGAGAGGTGCATACAGGCAAGTTCTGGTGCCTTTTCCTTACTGGAGAAGCACCTCCACTGGAGCCCTGCAAGTCTACAGATACCCGTAGATCACAGGTGGATGTGGATCCAAATTTTATATCTAAAGCCCTGCAAATCTGTGCCTATCCACTTTAAATCCATTGATGTGGATATCCGTGGGTCATTTCTGCAGCGTGTGGATTGGATGCAGATACAAATTTTGTATCCATGCAGGGCTCTAACCTCCGCCCTCCAGAAGCTGTTGCCGGGACTGGGCAAGTGCCTAGTTTAATAGGGAATGTGGGATGTTGTGTCCTTCTAGGGAAGATAGTTTGGTGTTCCACCCTGCCCTTCTCACAAAATACTATCTTCTAAAACAGTAAATGGATCATGCACTTTCCTACTGCTCAAAGCCCTTTTCATGCCTAAACTGAAGTAGCAATGACCAAGCCAGTGCAGTCTGACCACCCCTCATTCCTCTCTCCCTTGCTTGTAAGCTGAGTCAGGCTGAGCCTGGCAGCCACTCAGGGCCTGCTCCAGGGGAGCTTGCAGACCCTGGAGGGCACTACTTAATAGGTAACAAAGGAGGTGCTAGGGCTCAAACAATCTTTTTACTTTCATAACTGATGGCAATATGAACGGCCACGCCCAGAGGTGTCAGGGCACAAATTAAGCACTGCTGCAGGGCTATGTTACTGCTTGGAAAACAAGCTTGTGCAGGTCACTTGTAAAGTGAGCCAGGATTCCTGCTGTTTGCTTTCTGTGCCCTGAGGGATGACCCTTGTGGCCCCTCACAGCCTAGGCTAACTGCAGCTGGGTGCATGGTTTCCTGTAAGACCATGGCAGATGTTCCCTCATGTCTGGGAGCTGAGTGAAGGAGCAGAGCACGTGGGTGCGGGAACTAGGGCCGGGCAGGTGCTGCAGCACCCCGGGTTACGCTGTGAAAAGTTGGCTGGTGCTGTCAAAATGAGCCGAGCATTATTTCGCAATTGTTGAGAATTCCAGAGCTGTGCTGTGAGCAGGAATTTTGCTTTTGAACACACGTGGTTTACAGTTTCATTAGCTCGCTTTCAGCACCCCTACTATAAACTCTGGCCTTCCCCCCCCCATCCCCATTCAGCTGGGAGCGGCTCCACCATGGGAGCAGCCGGTAAGTGAAAGCATGATTGTCCTGGCAGGCTGGCCCAGGAGCAGAGGAGGAAGGTCCCTGCTAAGCAACGGGGACTCCCAGAGCCGGCTGGGGCTGGTGCTCCAAGGCAGAGGCTCCCCTGAAGGACTCGGCAGGGAGTGGGGGCAGCCAGCCAGGGGAGGGGCCCTGGGCATGCGGGGGTTGAGCCAGTGGAGCCTTGCCCAAAGGAAGAGCAGGGGCACTGCTGGCCAGGGAAGGAGCCAAGCAGGGCTGTCCCAGGGCAGCCGGATCTGCCCAGCCCCCAGCTGGACCCTGACAGCATGTGGCACATCTGGGAGTGGCTCCTGCAGATCAACCAGAGCTGCTTTGCCCTGGGGAGCCCCACACTGGAGCCGAACACCACCATCCTGATCGTGCAGCGGTGCGGCAGCTTTGCTGGGAATCCGCTACATACCCAGTGCAAAAATACTCCAGCCCAGTGCCCTGGAACCTTAGATAGGCCCTAGGCTCATGCCCTGGACAGGGAGAGGGACCAGCCTGCAGATTTTCCACTGGTGAATTTCCCACTCCAAGGTGCTAGCAACATAGTGATGTTGGTTAAATAAATTATCCAATCAGGGAACAGAATCAACACCCTGTGACTACCCCAGCCCAGTGCCAGTTGGCAAACAGCTACCTGCACCTGTTCACTAATGTTCAGTCCCAAAAGTTTATAAGTAATTTCAAATACGAAACGTACCACAGTTCACCATTTCCTTACAGACCGGTCACCCGGAGAAGCTGAGGCAGACTCAATTATCAGTTATTTTATTACAAATAATTCCCCTCAGCATGACCTGGAGGGTTTGGGAGCAATAAAAAATTATCTTCGTGTGGTGTAAATCAGCATTGCTTTGTTCACATCAGTAAAGTTATTCTGATCTGTACCAGCTGAGGAGCGGGCCCAATGTATACACAGTGAAATACGTAACCTAGGATCGTAGTGGGCTCCAGAACTGGGACCAACATGCGATAGTTATTGGTGCACTAGAAAGATCCATCTAGATGGAGATGTCTTGCTGTAAGTGGAAATCAAGGTGGAAGACGATCTTTCAGCAGGACAGTGGGACATTACCAAGAATGAGCCTGTCACGCAATAGAAGCCATCGTTATTAGCAACATTTACTTAATGGTGCACAGATGGGATTTTTTTTTTCTTTGTTTAAATCGATGTTTGACACGTAGGAAACGTGCTTCCTAAAAGGTTACAGCTAGTTTCTGGACCAAGAAAACAGGTTGACAAGTGTCCTTTTAAAACAAACAAGAACTACAAGCCTGTAGCATTCAGAAGCTGTGGTGGAAGTGGGATGAGGGTAGAGTCCAGTTTGGCCAAACTGATGACTCATACTTTTAAGCAATAAAGCTCCTGAGCAGTACATCTTGTTTCTTGGGAACATGCCACTTTTATATTTGGGGAAAGGACTAAATATGTAATGGACCAGTTATCAAGATACAGCTGCAAGTGCTGTACCAGCAGGTAGGTGTTACGGTTGCATCAGAACCTTGGCCTGTGATATTCCCTCCTCTGCAAAACTGCTTCAGCCCCTAGCAATATGCCAGAAACTGGCACAAGTTATGTCAGTGAGACCTGTGTGTGCTATGTAATAACTGTATTTCACAATTGCTTCCACACATTATTACTGTCAGGCATGAGATACAACAGGGGTCAGCACATAAAATACCTTAGCTAGATACTGGAGTGGAATTACTCTGGGTTTATGTAGGTGTAAGATCAGAAACTGGCTCAATTTGCCACACATCAATTCTAACAATGATCTCCAACGCCAAAGATTGTGTGCTCTCATACAGTGTTTTAAAATGCAATCACTCCTCTTCTGATAACTTTTTTCTCGAGATTGCTTGGTTCAAATCTCAGCCAGGTCAACAGCAACCAAAGTTACCACTATGTGGTAGCCTGCGTGAAATTAATTGGGTGGGTCTGAGCCCAGTTGCTGGAGGGACAGGTGATCACATCACAAAACTATCATTGCATCCAGCACCCATTAGCTTCCTTCTTTGTGGTCTGTTGGAGGGAGCACAGGATTGCCATCGAGGCTGAACTCTCTGCTTAGACCTAAAAGTACCCCTGACTGATGGGTGTCAGCTGTGCAGTGTGGGGAAGTTGGCACTGTTGCTTCCTGGGCTCAGAGGACGCTAGGCTCCTGCCCCTCCGGGTTAGCACTTTGGACAACCATCGACTCAGGGCCACAGTAACTGCGTCAGACGGTGTGTTTGGAAAGAGGCAGCTCCCATCTAGCAGCACCACATTTTAAGGCAAATGAAGCCAGCATTAACTCAGGTTAGTGAAGGCTATTGCCAGAGGAGAAATCTCAGGGTTTGTACAGTCTTTCTGCTCTGTTGCTTTCTTCTGGCTGACAGGTTTAATTGTGCTTGCTTCTTTCATTCTGGTCAGATGATCAGGTCAGGAATGTATTTTGCTCATGAGATAGCTGGTGAAAAGTTATTTTGAAAGCCAAGATCTCTCCTCTCATGAAAAGTTAAGCAATGCCATTGTAAACAGGAGAGGAGGCAACGGCTGCCAAATTAGACCTACCCCACAGGTGTTTACCGTCACTGTAGGGATTGCCAGACAGCCCAGCTGGGATGAATCACTCTCCTCTGATAAGCAGTCCTGTGAATGAGTTGCTTGGAGATCCATGGCTGAAAAGCACTCTGAGAGCTTCCAGCCTATTAAACAGCTTTTACCCTCCAAAACTCCCGGATAGCCCCACAATAATCAGGATTCTGAGCCCTACGTAAGAGTGGCCTAGGGATCAGTGACACTAGTGAGCAGATGCAGAAGCTATTTCAGGGCAGTACATGGAATTGTGGGTAGCAGCAGCAGGGGAAGTTGAGAAATGAGTACAATGAATATCAAACCCAAAGTGCTCCCTTGTCTCACCCTGAAGTCTCCAGAGCACCTGCCCTGACCCAGTGCCCCATTCTGTGTTGCCCTGCTGCCCCCAAGGCTGCAGATCAGGTTTCATTCTTTACCAGTGACTTAAACAAAACCAAACAGACCCCTTGGTAAATAAAATACTCAGTGCTGCTTTAGTTTACAGTTTGTGCTATCTAATGTGGCTTCTCTGACTGTTCGATGTGGGGGCTGGCCTGTCTCTTCCACAGATGCATCTTGGGCCAGTCCATCCAGAGCAATAGATACTGCTGACAGCATTGCTCAAATGCTTTTCCTCTCCCTTGTGTGACCTTCCACAGCACAGATCTGGGTTGACTCAGCATCTTTGCTCTTACAAGCATCCTGTCGAAAGGCTCCATTGCATGGGCTGTGGTCCAGTGGGGAATGAAGGAAGGAAGCAGAAGTTAGGAAAGGCAGCATGTGCCTGAGGGAACCCTGCCTCCTGGGGGAAGAAGAGAGGGATATGCTGATGAAAATGACATGAAGAGAACAACGGCCTACCACCATTTTGTTTGCAAACAGCCTTGAGTGGGGGAAAGAGAACAGAATCTGCATAACTTTGGCTAATGCACCAGGCTTGTACTAAATCCCTGAAATAACTGCATCAGTCTCTCCCCTTTGCTTAGTTGTGTCAGGCCAGGCTGCATGCATGCACCTCGTGCCTGGGAAAGCGTTAATGCACATCTTAGATAAGATCTACCAGCAGGGCCTGCCTGGAGGATCGGAATTGGGGTTGTGCTCAGATGGGGTGAATTATTCTTGTCAGGATTGTTTAGAAGAGGCATGAGCTCAAATCTTTCTGCCTTGAGTGGGGTGGGGTTGGAATTTGGATCCCACCCAGACTCTTTACGGGGAGCCCTGGACCTTCAATTAGTTGAACCCCAAATACATAATGTACAGTCCCAGGGAGCTCCAAGAGTAGAGTTCCCTGACCTTTCCTATTCAAGCTGCAGTTCACAGGAAATTAGTCTAAGACAGCAAGATACACTTCAGTAGTCTCCCCTGTATATGCCTTTCCATTGAGACACATATTCCAGCACTGATCAGAGACATGGGCAGCCTGTTGGCTTTAAATCTCCTTTTTATTGCTTAAAACAATTTGACTTTGTTGCAGAAATATGCAGAGCTTTACATGCCTGCTGCACAGTTTGAAAATCTGTGGGAGAGCCCTGGTCTGGAAGAGAGTTTTCTAAAGGAAACATTAACATGATTATAAAGAGCAACCGGTTCCTTTGCAGGGGGAAGCCAGTGAGGTTATGATTAAAATAAAGGTTCCCATCACACTGGTTTATAATGAACCCAGCTACGCTGGAAGCTGGCATGCAGCCTTCCTGAAGAGTTAGTAGAGGGGTTGTGTGCAAAAGCCTTTAATCTTCCTGGCTGACGTGACTGATAGAGCATAAAGAAGTTTCAAAGGTTGGTTCAGCAAATCCTGTGAATCCAGGCACTGCACTCGCAGCCTCTAGTAAAGTGTAGGCTAGAAATAAGGGCTTGAAAAGAGAAAGATCCCAAACGTAAGGGAGCAGCACCTTGCTCCTGGAAAATTCATAGTCAAATAGAAGCGTATGTGTGTCGACCCAGCGATCAACAAAGGGCTCCAGTGACTGCTAAGGAATTTGGATTAAAGTCTCCTGCACGTGCAATCAGGTGCACAAACGGGTTGGGTGCCCAGTGACAGGTTTGCTCACACAGCTACCTGTTACGTGCTCACAAAATGGAGGTGTTTTCACATGCATATGGATGTTCCAGGAGGTATGCAGGTGCCATTAAGAAGCTCATAGAAAACATGCCCATGCAAAACCGGTACCCAGATCCCCTGCTGATGGGGGTGTCATAAGGGGTAAGGATGGAAACCGCAGGACCAGGGAGGAGTTCTCATTGCAATACAGGGCATTTTGGCAGCAGTGACAGGTTTTGGAAACAGCACATTTTGCTGATTCATGAGGGAGAGCACGTCCCTTTCTAGTTCCCCCTTTGCCTTTGTTGAGCCTTCAGCTGCGACTGTACGATCGGTTCTCTCGTAGGCAGCAAGACGTGCTGCATCCAGCACTGGCTTTGTGCACCTCCCTGATGCTGATGGTTCTTTTTGCGTGCTCATCTGACACATAGTGAAGATTCCTGCATCTTGCATGCATGCTTGGTGACTTGCCTGATTGGGGGTGGGAACTGGACAAGGAGGTTTGGGATTACCGCACCAGAGAAATCCAGGCCTGGGGTCCTGCCGGTGAATTTCACTGTTCCTTCTACTTGCACTTGTGCACATAGTAACCTGTCACGTAGCCAATGACAAAAACCGTCCAAAAGAGGATGTTTCCTCCAACCACTTTAACTGCAATGCCGATTTTCCCAGTGCACAGCTTAGTGTAGATTCTGGGGAGATAAACAGGGATAAGGAACAGCTGTAGTCATCCTGGCTGCATTAGCAAACCCAGTCAGCTCTACTTAGCCTGTTATTTGGCTGGGAGACCTGCTGTCAAACTCCAGGTTGGTATTGGAAGTGGTGCTGGTGATTCAGGAGGTGGCACCCAGTCACTAGTGATAAGCTGCCCTGTGAAAGGGGCTGCGAGGGCTATGCCATCTCCTGGATGAAATATAAAACCCAGGGCCTGACTGCTTGTGATCACTGAAGATTTTACAGCATCTCTCCTCAGAGTAGAAATCTTAGCCCTAATTCAGGGCACAGTCCACCTGGAGTAATTAAACTTTGTCTCCCTCAATCTTCCCTGAAGCTTCTGTTCAACACAACATTCTTCACAGCACTTCCTGAACTGTTGTGTAGCGTGGCTGTGTTCCGGCAAGAGGTGGCTGGTTTTAGTGGCAAGTGAAGTGATTCTAGTTTATTGTAAAACACGTTAGGGGGAAAGGCGTTAGAGAAATAAATGTTACTATTATTCTTACAGAGTCTACATGGGGGGAGAGAAAGGTCATATTTCTCTTCCTTTCCATGTGTTAGGGTGAGTGGAGGAAAGAATCACGATGCTGTAAGCCACTGAGTCACTGTTTGCGATTTTCTAGAACAAAGGAATTATTTAGAATTGTGTACAGACGTCTTAGCTTTTAAAATAGTAACGTGGCAGCCAGCTATATCTGTAACTTCAGCTAGATTGTGAGTAGAGCCCAATTTCTCTGCTTTAAAAATTCCAAGTTTGGTTCCCATTCGGAAATCAATACTCAGGCACTAATCTCACTGACAACAGTGGCACTGTATGATTGGAACCTTTGTGTGTTTCTGCACTGCTAGTTAAACTGGGAGACAAAGACAATCCTGGAAGATTTGACTCCATTATCTTCCAGGAGGTGATCTGTGTTGGCCTTGCAGAAATGCAGTTGGTAGATCCTGGGGAACAGTGTGTCTGGTTCTAGGACCATGTATGGTGGATGTAGGGCTACTCTGCTGATTGACCATGGGCAGTCAAACCGTGTGGGTTTCTGTAATTCCAGCACAGAGGGATAAAAGGTTGACAGACTCTCTAAGGCTAAGGAGAAGGACAAGAGGGCTTGCAGGGAGCCTCCATAGCTCAGGAGGAACAGCTTGCCAAGAGGAATAGGTTCTGGACAGCTATTCCTCTTGTGTGCATTGTTGAGTCTACACCTCTTAGGCAGCCGAGCCACAGGGGTCTCACCTTTTACATCCCGACACCTCAGCAGTGGATGTGTTCACACTGACTTCATCACGACTATTGTCATTCCACCTGCTGTACTGAACACCTGTGTCTTGAGGCTGCATCCTTCCAAGGAAAAGGTTGAAGGAAAAAGACTCTAGGAAGGAGGCAAAGGCAGATACAAGTTAAGCTGATGCCTTGACAAGAGGAAAAACTTAATGCAGTTTCCTAACTTTTGTTTATTCTCCTTTATTCCTTATGAAAGTGACAATTACAGTCAATGATGTGACACCAGGCATGACCATGTGGGGTTACACTCTCTTACTGACTCCAGATCAATAGCTGTCAAGACTAATGAGAAATACAGGCATAAAGTATTGAGACAGCTATACGTACCAATTACTATCAGGGTTAAAACGGAATCCCCCTGAAAAGTCTGACAGGACTTTGAACGGGAACTTTGATCAAGCCTAAAAAAAAGTGGATGGGTGACTGCGAAACCACTCCTGAGATTCCATTTATTGATCTAAGTACATCAATCAACTGGGCTCGTGATAATTGTATGTGTAAACACCTGTTCATTGGGAATTAGACTGAGACTATCAAACCAATTCACCCAAGCAAATAAACCTACAATCTGGGGTGAAAGGCTCCATCAAGTCATTCAATCTTATATATGCATTTGATTCGGGTCCAGATTCCAAACACCCACAAATCTTTGGAAGGCTTAAGAGCCCCCTCTCCCTGCAGAGTAAGGACTGCCTAGCTGCTGCCCTCCACACCCCAGAGGTGTCTGCACTTCAGTAAGGAGATGTATGTATGTCCCATGGTTTTTGAAGCGTATTGGAATTCTCATGGTGAAAGGTCCCCCTACAGAAATGTAAAATTTTATTTTATGAAGCCTACCTAAAATTCTCACCAAGACTGAGTTATCTAAAGTTACTCCTTACTCTCTGTCTTGCAATGCAGGTTGTCTGTTTCTCATGTCATAAGCTCTTCCAGACTGGGAGTACCAGATATTTGTGCCTTGTAGAGAACACGCCATCGGCACTTAACAGATAATGCTTTACAACAGCTAATTTGCAGTAATTTTAAAATTCTCCTGTTGTTGCCACCTCCTTTATGACCCAGCCCTCCCGCTCCTGAGACACAGCGCGCAGCACCCAGTGCTGTGAGACAGCCATGCCTGGCAGAAGGGAGCTAGAAGAAAGGGTGGCCCTATGGGAAGCAGCACAAAAGAAAACTAGAAATGCAACTAATTGACGTGTGTCTGGGAAAGAAAGGGGACCTGGAACGCAGATGGGGCAGAACTGGGAAGGAGAAGATGGGGCAGGACCGAGAGGAATTATGCTGCCTGGGGGGTATTTTCAATTTGCCCTTTTAACTGTGATTATTTTCACTTGGACCCTAGCCTATGTTTTGTAAATAGAGGACTTTACGTTCTTGGCATTGCTGACATAACAATGTCCCTGATTAAGGTCTAAATTCTAAACCTGCTAGTGCCAGCAGTCGCACTGGTGTTTGCTAACGTACCATGTTAGCGATTAGACCCAGCAGCTCCGTTCAGAGTTCTGGCTCTGCAATCTAAATGCCTCTTTGTGCATATCCCTGTAGCATATTGCAGGTTTTTAGAAACATTTACTATCATCTGCAACTTGGCATGAGCCTGGCATATTGTGAGGAATTTTTCAAAATATTTTTACATTTTTAAAGATGCCCCTTTTTGACCAGCATGGTGCCGGATCAGATTGGGTCAAAGGTGGCTTTAATCCACTTTAGCATTTGTCCAATCTTGGCGCTGCTGGAAAGTGGGTTAGAGCAGCCTGAAGGCTGCTCTAATTTACACCCATCTCCAGAGGCCACACAGGACTATCCCAGACTAACAGCCAGACACAACAGTGTCCTGGCCAAGCCTCCTCTTTGCTAGGCTGCACCTCCTGTGCTGGAGAAGGGGAAGCTGTGCAGGGCAGGAGGCACCCTGCGCCACAAGAGGATTCCTCCATGTCGGGGGACTCTCCACTGCCTGACTTTGCTGGGTTATATGGCTGCGTTGTGCTGGTGCAGCAACACTCTGCAGCTGCAGCCCCGCTGGGAATCTGGCCCCTGGTTCTCAATCTGATGGGGTGGTTTTTTTTCCACTAATAAAAGCCATTGTCCCTGTACAGGGGTGACACAAGGAGCCTACTCTCCTTTAAAGTCCCAGGGAAGGACCCAGCACAACGTCAGTCCTTGCACTTTGGGGTGTTGAGGAGCTACTCCTTTCAGGTGTCTCCCTAGCTGCCTTCTGTATGATTTCCAGATCCAAAGGTCTCACATCCTCTCCAGTGATCAGTATATTCAAATAACATATTGACCAGTTGGCTAGAGCAGACACATTACTTCTGGCTGAGAGATTTTTAAAATGAAGCCCATATTGCCTCTCTCCATTTCCCCCAAACCAACCAGTAAAAAGTAGTTTACCACTGGAATGGGCTTGGATTTTATACTCCTCCTCTCCTCCTAACGTCTGCACAGAGCTGGGCTTCAGCAAGTCTACCCCTGAAAATTGGGTGGAAAAGTGAAAAAAAGTAAGAAAAGAAAAGCGAGTTTGCCAGAGACTGTGTTTAAAGCTGCAGCGTGCTCTCACCTGAGGATCAAAGTCCTTCTCTGACTCTGCTCCACACTGTTTCTTGGAGAAAAATAACCCTTTGCCTTGAGCTCTTTCCTTGCTGGGTTGATTGTGACTCGGTGTTTCCTGCGTGTGCTGTTGTGTTAAACCAAGATTAGAGGAGGAGCAGGGAAGGAGGCGGGGCCCATCAGTTCAGAGCCTTTCAGCACAAAAACACAGGTGCCAGCTACAGCTGGCTGACTCCATACATTCTGACCTAAGCACCAAATTGCTGGGGCAAAATTTCCACAGTTCCCACATGCAAATTCTTTAACCCCACTCCATCTGAAGGCAAATGAGGTGCATGCAATGGAGAATGCATGCCAGAGGCTTGATTTGAGGAAGGAGTATAAGGGTTACCATCAGAAACATTGACCATTGGATCTGGCCCTTCCTTTATTTCAGCATTCTGACCTCAGTGCCATCACAGCATTGGGATTCCAGTGAAAGGTGTGCATGGCCCTGGGAGAAGCTGGACAGCAAGCAGGGGAAACTCTTGAATATTCTGTAATCCCTGAAATCCTGCCCGCAGCCCTTACTCCTCCTGGGCTAGATCCAGAGCTTCTCATTCTGTCCTCCACTGACATAATGTAGTTATTCCAGATTTACATCAGTGTTGTGAGATCAGAATAGGTACAGTGCATCAGAGATCTAGTCAGCACTATCAGTCTGAAGCAAAATCCTACACTTGTACTTCTCTCTTTAATGGTGCAGATTAGGGAACTGGACAGCTCGGGGGAAGGTTGCTGATGGGATACAGAGCCTTTCACACAGCCAGATTGCTTGCTGCAATGCAGCTCTGGTCTGTTGTTTCCAACTGAAGGCTGTCTGGTGCCCTGTCTGAAATCAGACAGTAGCCCCAGTTCAGTACTGAGTGGGCAGGTGTCAGCATCCCAAAATCACCTTTACAACTGGCAGCTAGATCATCCATCTCAGCAGAGAGGGCACACTTGAAGGGGCCTCAGAAATTAACTCCTGTCTTGCCCCCAGAGATAGTCCACTCCAGCCTGGAGTGGAGGCCCAATGTCAGGGTTCTACGGCGCTTGCCCATGTAGGACCCTTAGTCCAGCATCTCTCATCAGTAGTCAGTTCACAGAGAAATGCAAAAAGGAAGTTGATTTTGTGTTTGGTTGTATTAGAAATATTAAAACTGAAGAGAAAAGCAATGGCACATCCCCCACTACCATCGGCAATGGTGTTTTCCAAGAGACATTCAACTGTGTGAAGACACCACCTAGAGAAATGCAAAGATCAGACTGAAGAGGGCAGTGGCAGACATTAGTCATGGAGATTCAGCCTGGTGCTAAGCTGACGAGGAAAATGTACTTTAGCCTGGTTGACCTTTGCAACAGACCTCTGGATGCAAGCATTGTAGAACTCCAGGCAAAGGGCTGGGACTGCCACACGGGGATGCATTTCATTTCCAAATAACTATGAGGCAACCATCTGAGTTGTGAATTTATTCTTCTGTTCTGTAGCAGAGAGGTTTGTATCCTTAGCCTTCCTAAGGGCTTTGGGTTTGAATCTCTTGTCACCCTGTGCCCTTTTGCAAAGTAGGAGTGAAATGGTACAAGTGAGTGGAGAATCCTAATTTGGCAGCGTTTCATCACCACTTTACACTGGTGTAGATGAGGTCACAAGGTCCAGGCCCTGAAGAACCAGACCTTTTATTTACTGTGACATAATTCAGCCAGAAATCTCGTACAGATGAGGAGGCTGTTTTATGCATTTGGAATAACTTTGTCCAATGGGAAATTCATAAGTGTGGATCTTGGTTGGGGTAAAACACAAACATGCAATTTCGATTTGTAACTGGCTTTGGAGCTACCTGCTGACAGCACGGAATTGGCATGATGCACACGGGGAAGTCTTCCGGGAAGTAGATATTAGGGTATTTGACCTGTTCTGTTAGTTAGAACAGAATAATCATGTGCATGTCAAGGAGGTGATCATCACATTGATTATGGAACTGGTTTAAAATTTTGGTCATAAAGGCAGGTTTCTAGTTTGCTGTTATCAATGGCAATAAGGTACAGTTGAAAAGTGACTCTGTAGAAATGACAGAGTGGGGTTCCGTGTTTGTCACTCAGTTATGCTCACTTTGCAATCCAAAAGATTTTATTTTTCTAATCGCCAGCCCTGCAAACTTGTCTTGGTATCTGAAAATCAAGCTGGTTTTCTATGGCTCACACATCGCTGACAAAAAAGATTTTGCAATGGGAACTCAATTAATAATTCTGCTAAGGGAACATGAGCCAGAATAGAATCCAGGTCCCGCTCTCAAAGCTGTATGAGTGCTACAGAGCTAAAAAGTGCAACCTAATTTTAGCCCGTGAAGTCAGCAGACATGATTGAATAAGCACAGGCAGATTAGCCGAGTAAGGAGGCATCATTTTTACCCTTAAGAACCACACTTTAAAATGCACAGCTTGGTCCATGTTCCTTATCTTGAACTGATAATTTTAATTTAATTTTGAACTTTAATTTCATACCAGAGATAAGAGACTCTAGACCAGGCCTTGCTAAGGTGATTACTTCACCGCTAGAGGGTTAAAGTAATTTGGCCATGACATTTGAAATGGGGACCCAGGAACACACACCACCTACTGTGTTTATTGCAGAGGAAAACTGAACACTAACATTTAAAGGGCCAGATTTTCAGCCCAGCCCTGAGTCCCAGTCTTGCAGGAACCAAACTGCAAGGACAATTTTTCATCGGCAATTATTTGTGCTGGCATTTTAGGCCCTTGTAGATGTCTAAGTTCCCAGTTATACCCATAAATCTATTATCCGCAACTTGTGTCCACTAAAACGGAGACCAGTCTCAGAATCTGCACCTAAAACCTCACTAGGATGTTTAGGTTTGTAAAGACATTTCAGGCTTGTCTACATGGTGGGTTGCACTGGTTTAACTAAAGATGTGAATTTAAACCAGTTTAGTTGAGTCAATGCAAACTCCTGTGTGGACACTTATTTAAAAAAAAAGAGTGGCTTATTCTGGTTCAGTTTAAGTCGATAAGGAACAGATTTCAGCTAACCTGAAATAAAAGCTGGCTTTGCAGCAGTCCAAACTCCATGGTGGGTTAGAGGGTGCACAGCTGAATGGGAGGTTGGCAGTGACACTGTATGAGAGCCTGGCACAGTGGCTTAGCATTAAGGTTGGGAAAGGGGAGACTGATTACTAAAGCTTAGATTGCCAGCGCTAGTGATATCTAGCAGTGGGTGGGAACCATCCTGTTGTACAATATGCTCAGAGATGACCTGGATGTGATTGCTAGAATCTGGAAAGTTTGGAAGGCCTGCTTGTTTCAGGCCAGAGAAGCTTGGTGAGCCAGTGATTATGCCTGCACCCTGTGTTTAAAAGGAGCACAATGAGCAGCAATAGAATAACCTGGCCAAAGCAGGTGGTGTGCCCACAAAGGGAATCATTTTCATTTTCTAGCTCCTCTTATCCAAGGACCCCCAAAGCACTTTGCAAACTCACATTAACTCTCACACCTCCCATGTGAGGCGGAGATTGTTCTACAGATGGAAAATCCGAGAGAATAAGTGATTTATGGCAAATTGAGCGCTGATTCCAGTCCCCAACTCCAATTATGAGACAACAGTGTAGACTAATTAGAGATCAGCTGGCTTAACAGAATGCAGTTGAAGTCCGATTTAATTGTTTAATTTGTCAATAAAAAACAAAACACCAGAGAAAAACCAAAATGCAAGCAGGAAAGAACCTCAGGGGAAAGGGCCTTTCTGACTCTGTGACTCAGCTGCAGGAATCAGCTCTCAGCGTACAAGGCCCTATTTCACAGGACTCTTTTTGTTGGTCTTAGAATTAGGAGAGGACAGATTTGCTGGCTCAGTGCTGAAGAGAGACGGGACCTTCACACCCTTCTGTTTCAGCATCTGATGAAAATCCAGCCGCTCACTAATTATTCTCTGGAAATCAGACACATTCACAGGAGAATCCAGCATTAGCCGTGGAGGTGATAGGATCGTTAAACTTTTCCTTCTCCCCTCACCTCTCTGCAGGTCCCCAGCTCAGGGGTCAAAGCAGAAGCATCATTCCACACTGAATCACATACCTGCATAGCCTCTAGTGCCTCCTCATCGCTAATTTCAGCTTGGGGGGATTTGGAGCCTGCAGTGCTGTATGTGGCCTGAATTATTTTGCTTCGAAATCTTTCAAACTTTGATTTTAAAAAGGAAAAAAAAAAACTACCTTAGTTTAGGCTGAAGAGTTAACCAGGTTTCTCCAATTAAAGAGGGATACTGTTTGACACAAGCAAAGACCTACTCTCACTAGAGGGAGAATTTGAAGCAACCCTTGCTTTTAAGATATGCCAACAAGAGGGTTGGTATGACAGCTGGCATTTCTGACAGGTTCTCATGTCTCTGAATGTCCCCAGGACACCAGTAAAGGGAAGGACTGAAATTCTGCCCTGGGCTGAGTATGTGCAATTCCAGATGGCTTCACCAGAAGCCCCACACAGACACCTAGTGGCAACGTGTGTCTCTGAATTAGTAACGTAAGCAAATCTGACCTGACGTTGGATGGAGTTGCACCTGCTTGCAGCAGGTCTGAATATGGCCCTTTAAGAATAAATCTGGAGAAATGTCTTCCCATGATGGCTGTTTAGCCTATTGCTGTATTTGAGAGAGGGGGGAATCCCCAGACGGGTTGGGAGGCTGTGGGATAAAATTCAGAAAGAAGTTTGGCATTGTAACTATTCTGCTCTGAAACCTCGGGGTCTCTTTTTCTTGGTATCCCATAAGACCCATAACTGAAACAAAAGCCCCTGGCAAGCACAGGAGCCCAAGCCGCCCGGGAAAGTTTGGGGAGCAAGTAGACTGTTAACTGCCAGGCCCTCCATTCCAGCTGCTGGAGCTGAGGTGCCAAAGGGAGTCCCATGCAGTCCACCCAGTGATTGTGTCTAAGGACGGCCCTGACTAAACTGGGGCCTTTGTTCTCGTTAGCTGGAGTCCCTCCCTCAGGAGAGAGGCCCGCAGTGAAGGAGGCTGTCTTTACCCTGGCATTGATGCACTCCAGTGCAACTTTGGCCTGCTGCTCAGTGTGCTTCAAGGCCTCGACTTGGCTCTGCATCTCACT